ACTCCACCTTTCACCAAGTACTCTGCATATGTGTGTGTGTGTGTGTGTGTGTGTGTGTGTGTGTGTGTGCGCGCGTGTGTGTGTGCATGTGTGCGTGTGTGTGTGCGTGTGTGCGTGCGTGTGTGTGTGCGTGCATGTGTGTGTGTGTGCGCGTGTGTGTGTGTGTGTGTGTGTGTGTACTTTTTTGTCTTAGTCTTTGTTCAGTGGTGCCATCTGTGGGGAGCCATCCCTCACCCCCACATTTCCCCAGAGTACTCTTGAGTAGAAGCAGCAGAAAATATTAGTTAGAAAGATGGGAGAGGAAAAGATAGAGAATACAGGGTAGCCTCAAGAGGGCCTGGATCCTAATCCCATCAGGCCCCAAATGTCTCTGCCCTAAGGTATTTAAAGAAATGCCAAGGGGTAGAGCAAAAGACCTCCCCCCCAGCACAGCCAAGTGCAGACCATCTCAGACACCTGTACTCAGGCCTGTGGTCCAATAATTCTCTTTATGAAGACCTGCTGGGTAAAGCCACTTGGAAACCTTAAAAATAGGCTCCAACACCTGCCATAGTAAATGCACCATGAGTACTGAAGTATAGGCATGAGTCTTCCACAGCACATGCAACGTGTGTGGTATGAAGGTTGGATTCTCCCATAGTATATAAACCATGAGTTTAGGGTTAGAGCCATGGGCCTCCTGCAGTAAATATATCATGAATGCTGGGTTATAGGCATGAGTCTCCCACAGTACATATACCATGGAGGCTGAGTTATCAGTTGAAGCCTCTCACATTTCATGAATCATGAGTGCTTGAGTATAACATGGTACATTCATGATGATTGCTGAGTTATAGGAATGAGCTTTTGACAATACCTGAATACTGAATGATTGTATATATGTGTCATCCCCAAAAAGTATATGTTCCATGAGGGTTGCATCATATCCAAGAGCAAACCACAGTGCATGCACCATGAATTCTAGCCTATAGTCATGAGCCAATCAGAGTACATACAGCATGAATGCTGGTTTAGTGGTTTGAGTCCGACACAGTGCATTCACAATAAATTCTAGGTTACAGACATGGGGCATTTATAATATCTGTAGAATAAATTCTGTGCTATTAGGCTGAGTCTTGCACACTTTTATAATGATTAATTCCCCACAAGCCAATCTGTGAGACAATCTTGATTATTTATTAATGCAGAAGAGATCCTAGCCTGTATTAAAAAAACAAAGCTATCTATCTATGGGTGAGTGAACCAGTAACCAGACCTTATACATGGTTTTACATCTAGTTTCGGCCTGAGTTACAGGTCTAACTTCCTTCAATGATGAACTTTGACCTGGATTTGTAAGTTGAAATAAAACCTTCCCTCACTAGGTTGCTTTTGAGCATTTGTCAGAGCAACAGAATGAAACTGAAACACACACATACATGTTGAACGAAACACAGATGCTATATTCCAGAAGAGAGAAATCAGAGACATCTCAGTTAGCATGCAGAAAGCCTTGCATTTGATACCCAGTATTGTGTAAGTTATGTGAGGTGGTTTATGCCTACAATATTAGCAGTTGGGAAGTGAAAGCAGGATGAAGAATTCGCGGTCAAGCTTAGTTACTTAGTGAGTTCAAAGCCAGCATGGATAAATGAGACCAGGTATTCAATAAATAAATGACAGAGATCTATTAGGGTCCTAACTGAGGTACTTCCTTTTAGCATAGAAAAAGAGAAATGGCAAGAAAAACACAATGCTCTTTAAAGAACATTAATTTAAATAGCCACTGTCACCAACTGAGCAAAAGAAAAGATCAGAGGGACATTCCTTCATCTCAGATCTTCTCAGCAGAAGCATTTCTGCTAAACCAGACAACACCAGTTTTCAGGACCCCAAGAAACTACGCTTAGTTCATTCTGAGCTTTCTTTGATGCCAAGCAAACATGCTCCACTCAGGTTATGTAGTGTTTTGAGTACAAATAGCCCAGAGAGATTCATATGTTTGAATGCCTGGCACTATTAAATGGTGTGGCCTTGTTGGAGAAAGTGTATAACTGTGGAGGTGCACTTGGACATCTCACATACTCAAACTAGGCCTAGTACCTTCTGCTTCCTGCAGATGAAGAACTCTCAGATCCTTCTCCAGCACCATATCTTCCTGTACGCCACCAGGCTTCTATCCATGATGATAATGGACTAAATCTCTGAAACTGTAAGCCAGCCAAAATTAAATGTTTTCCTTTATAAAAGTTGCCTTGGGCATGGTGTCTCTTCACAATAATATAAACCAAAACTAAGGCAGGATATGTGTGGGGAGATAAGTTAGTGTGTTTATTGAAATTGGCATGGCCATTTCCAGGATCACAAAGTCTCAGATCCATGAAAATGGCAAAGCCTTCCCCATATTCAGGTACAGGGAAATAGCAAATCCTTGGCATGGCCCATATGTTGATGTTGACTGTTTGTACAAAAACTAGTAACCACAGCTTTCTCCTCATAGATGGCTGTAATCTGACTCTGCTCCAAAAAAGACACTCTCTCAACACACAAAAAGATTAACTAACCCTACTTCCCCATTCAGCTCTATAAAATATCCCCACATCCTGAATTTCAGATGTATTAAAAAAATGCTGTTTCCTTAGTTCCCAGGCTGTTACTGGTGTGTCTTCATCAGAAGTAATGGGACAACGCAATCCCAACTTTTCTGTATGTATCTTTCATTTCTTCATTACCTACCACTCTAATTGGCAATCTGTAACCCATGTCAAGAGTACATATTCATTCAGGACTTCATCCACTCCACTCAGGTACAAGTGATGCTTAGAAACCCAGAGCTATGAACTCACAGTGCCCGTTTAGTGATGTCTACAGACAAAGGAAATTCCTGTGTTTTTTAAAGTGCTGGGAGCTGATGACACAGAATCAATGAAAAGGACCTTGAAGTTTCCGCAGAACACCAGTCATCCATCAGCACCAGTTATCATGGTTGTGATTCAGAAGGCATACGCAAAAGGGCCAAGATGGCAGCACACTCATAAGCCAGAGCCGGGCACAGGGTGGTGTAGCTTGGAGATGAGGGAGCCTGTTTGCAAGGCCACTTTTGCAGGCTCTGAAGGTCTGCCCTGAGGAAAAAGGAGATGCACATTCCTGGTGTAAGGTCACAAGCAGGATGTTTATTATGGCTAGGGAACCATCTTTGGAGGAACATGGTGGAAGCAGGCCAGAACATATGTACGTGAGGCCTAACAGCAGGTTAACTGGAGCTGAGATTATGTTCACATTGTCAATCAGCTGGTCAGATCATTATAACTTTCCCACAAGTGGAAGTCATGAAAAAACATCATGAACTTAGACTAGCAAGTTATCTGCAGCTGAGACAAACCCTGAAAAGGATAACAACCCTCCAAGTAGTTTGGGAAGCAGAGAGTCCACCAAGGTCCATCTGGACAATGCAGAGCAGAAACCAGTCTGAGAAACAGAAAGCCAGATGGTGGCAGAGTAGTCAATGGTGGCACTAGACATTTGCTCCCTTGTTCAATGGAAGCCTGATATAAGCCTAGGAGGAAGAGGACCAGGTGCCCCTACCTTACCCTGTTTCTGTAAAAGAGGATCTAGTGATGCAGCATGAATGGTAATATGTAATCATGTCACCTAGACAGTGGGATTCTATAACTTTAAAACTGTGTTGACATGACAGCAACTCTAATACTAGCAATAAAAAGGTATTTCCAAAACAGGTTTCATAGGCATTCAAAAAGAACAATCCTCACCCTCTGACATGTGAGAGAGGATCATATACTCCTTTTGTTTCTTAATTGTATTACACTTGGTTTGTTGAATGTCTACAAATCTGTCTGTCACAGTTTCCATATGAACTGTCTACAATTATTGTGCTCCTTAGGTTAGTTAATATTTCTTATAATTTGCTGAGTACTGATAAGCTCATTTCCTTCACACTCTCAGGAATTTCCTACCTATACACAAACATTTATGTTGTGAAATCCACAGGTTATAGCTATAAAGATTTCACATTGTATCTATTAGTAGGTTTTCACTCCAGAATCAATATTTTGATGTTGGATAACATGAATCTTTATTGTAGCATGTTGGAGGTAGGTGTTTCCTTCAGGGTCAAATTTCACTTGAGTCTACACTTTCAGCACTAGGCTAAGTGTTTATTAACATCAATGTATTTATTGGGGTATTCTAGTGTGGACATTATGAGGTGCAAAGAGGCATGAATCTAATGTAACATTAGATATTTAAGTCCCTTCTCTCTAACATCAATTTTCTGGTGTAAAACAGGTTTGGAGGAAGAATCAATAGGTTCAGCACATGCTGTATGATAGACTTCCTATGGAGGTGCAACACAATATACATCTACTCACCCAGAACCAAGTATCAACACCACTGAAGTCCATCTTGTTGAATCAATGAGCTTTATTCAGGTTAGTTACAGGAATATGTGGAAAAAAGGGACTCACAGAGTTTCCATAAGGTAACTCCAAAGCTTCATGGGATACAGCTTAGGAAAACTGGACAGCCATAGCACACTGCACACTTGCACGCATAGCTACAGGCTGAAGGACATCCTTTCTTGGTGACCAGTTTGTCAGAGCCTCATCTAAGCAGCATGACTTGTTGAAGTCTCTTCATGTGAGTTAAGCAGAGAGAATTCTTTCACTTTTTAATACTTCCTAAAGCTACTTATTTTTACCCATTTACTCAGGTTCTTCTATATTTGAAATGTTTCAGTCTCCAGGAAATGGCTGCAAAAACAGGTCATTATTTTGGATTCTACATTTTTTATTCATTATGCAGTATTAAAGGGTAAAAAAGTAAACTGTTGTAGTAAAAATTTTCCTAGATTTTCTCATTTTTAGAACTTTTTCTCAATATAAACTTTTTGATATTATCTAAGGCTTTCATGGGTTTCTCATGTTCATAATGATTTTCTACAATGGAGCCTGCAGTGGTCTCTGAGACACAGATTTGAATAAAAGGTATGCTACGTTATTTACTGTTGAAAATTTTGTCCCTAGTGTGAATTTTCTCATGTTTTCTTAGACTTGAGAGGCGTGTAAAGACTTTGTCACATTCACTACATTTGTAAGGTTTCTCCCCTGTGTGAATTCTCTGATGTATTCTAAGACTTGAGTCATGTGTAAAAGATTTCTGACATTCCTTGCATTTGTAAGGTTTCTCTCCTATATGAGTGTTCTGATGTCTTTTAAGAGTTGAGACAAATGGGAATGATTTCTCACATTCACTGCATTTATAAGGTTTATGTCCTGTATGAATCCTGTAATGTTTTCTAAGATTTGAGCCAGATGTAAAGAATTTCTTACATTCACTACATTTGTATGGATTTTCTTCTTTATGAAATGTCTGATGGTTTCTAAGCGTTGAGACACATGTAAAAGATTTCTGACATTCACTACATTTATAAGGAATTTCTCCTGTATGAAATCTCTGATGGTTTCTGAATGTTGAGCCATATGTAAAAGATTTCTCACATTCACTACATTTGTAAGGTTTGTCTCCTGTATGAATTCTTTGATGTGTTCTAAGAGTTGAGCCATGTTTAAATGATTTCTCACACTCAATACATTTGTAAGGTTTCTCTCCTGTATGGATTCTCTGATGTTCTCTAAGACTTGAGCCACAAGTAAAGGATTTGCCACATTCTCTGCATTTGTAAGGTTTTTCTCCTGTATGAAGTCTCTGATGAGTTCTTAGATGTGTCAGTCGGGTAAAACATTTACCACATTCTCTGCATTTGTAAGATTTTTCTCCTGTATAATTTATCTGATGATTCCTAAGACAAGAAACACTGGTGAAGGAATTTTCACAATCACTATATTTGTAAGGTTTCTCTCCAGTATGGGTTTTGAAATGTTTTTTAACCTGATACAACTGAGAAAAGCAATTGCCACATTGTTCACAATTGTAGGATTTTGATCCAAAATGATTTCTCTGTTGTCTACTGAGGCTCGAGTGGGTCAGGAAGCACTGTCCACATGTCCTACATTGGTGTTGTTCCTCTCTACTATGGAATTGTTTCAATGTGAGTTTATGTTTAGAACCAAATGATATATCATATTCTGAATTTCTGTCTCCTTTCTTTCCAGTGTTCTTTCTGTGATTTTGACTAGTGTTGGTACATTTCCCACAGTCTTTACATTTACAGGGTTCTTCTCCACTGTTCAGACTTTTATGACTGTTTAGGTTTGATGATTCAATAGAAGCATCCTTGTGGTAGACCCAACCATACTCATTGCAGTTTTCTGTAGTATCATTTGTGTTATAAAGTGTACATTGGGATGATTCATGGACCATTTTGCCAAGTTTATTACATTTATTAGGCTTCTTTTGGATATTCACAGACTGATAGCCAATGTGCTTTGAGTCTTGATCTAAGAACTTTTCATTTTTTTCACATATGTGATGTTTCTCTGGAAAAAGAACACAAATAGGGCTGATAGATATTGATGCCTGAGTAAGAGATTCAATAACTGATTTCTGCATAAATTTCTAAAACAGGTAAACTAGCAAGTCTCAAAAATAGTGAATTCAGCACAGGTCTTCTGTGTTACACTGTCATTAAATGAATGCTCCGAAGAACCACTGCAATCTCCAGTCATCCACAAGGACAGCTGATAGTTTTCTTCTCCCTATCTAAACTGCATACCTTGCAGAAGGTGAGACAAATAGATGATTAGGCAATTGTGTACTTAGAGAACGGAGATCCATGAAGGATCCTATTCGGATTGTTCCTCTGTCTTTTGGCTGTTTATGATTTTGACACACTGTGTAGCCGTGGTCAGAAATGAACTCACTAAGGAGCTCCATCTGACCTGGAACACTCATCTGATACTCTTGCTTCAGCCTCCCTAGCATTAGGATTAAAATCATATTGTGTCAGGACTAAATAGTAGAAGCCATATCTCAAATGATATAAATAAAATAAACTAAAACAACAATATGCTCACCACAAACATCTCTTTCACTATTTTAAAACATTTTCATTTTTGTAAACATCAGAATTAAGGGAATAGTTCAATTCAATTGTGAAATCAAAATATTCTAATTACTAAATATACTCCAATGCCTTTCCTTGCTCTGAATATTCAATTTCCTTTAAACTTTCAAGTTCTCATTAAAAACTAGAAAACAGAGCTAGAGAGATCATGCAGTCTAGCACATTGGTTATTCTTGCAGTTAACATAGGAAAATGACAGCCCATGGAAAAGTTATGTTTATTACTATAATTTCCCTTATTATAGTTTAGAAAGTTTACATATGTACAAAGTAGGTAATTACAAAGAATACATAAGGAATTCAACAAGAAAAGCATTCTTACCTACAAAGACTAGATTGTTGTAATTCTCCAGCATCACATCGATGTATAAAGCCTTCCAAGAAGACTCCAGACATTCCCATTCCTCTTGAGTAAAGTCCACAACCACATCCCTGAATGTCAATAGACCCTGTAATGGAAAATTATCCATTTCCCATGTTTTTCTGGACAAAATGCTTTCCTAGGTAAAAGACACCCAAGAAAAGACAGTTTTGTGATTTAGATGAGGCATGACAATTATTTAAAGACAAAACTTTTGTATGTTCTGCCAAGATGGTTCAGCAGTTAAGAGCACTGGCTACTGTTCTAGAGGACACATGTTCCAGACTCAGAATCCACATTTTATCACACAACTGATTCTGACTCAAGTTCCATGGGATACAATGCTTTCTTCCGAACTCAACATGCAGGAGTCCCACATAGCACTCATATATACATTGAGGTAAATATACCCCAAACATAAAAAGAAAGTTAATTAAAAATGATACTTTCTAGAATACTCATACTCCATATTGTGCTTCCTATCTCATAAAAAACAGGATGACTTATAAACTCTAGTAAACATTAAATATTTGAGGTCTAGATGCAGGGATGTACCTTTATGAAGGGTATGTGGCTATGAAACAGGAAAAGGGTGTCTCATCTCAGTTGGAAACATTACAATGTGCAAACTGTACTTGCAAATGCTACAGTTGTTAACCTTCTCAAATATGGAAACTGGATTAATACCAGCTGCAGCTGGGCCTCATGTGACTCTATTCTAAACATAAGGTGGGAGAGCCTTCAGCAGCATCATTAAGGGCATTCATTTATATCTAAAAATTGATGGTTTATGAAGAGCTCCAAGTCAACAATTTCTAGAAAATTCTTATAGATATATCTCACATGATGCAATATAGACATATTCCACATACTGCAATATACTTGGCATTGCTTACACAATGGTACTCTGTCTGAAACATAAAACAAAGTAAAAAGAGAAAATACTGATCTGTCTATTGAGATATTAACACTGATCATTGGAATCCAAAGAATGACATGAGCAGCAGCTTCCCTGAGTCAAATACATTTCAAGTGTAAAAACCCCACAGGCACATCACCACCTTGTGGTAGCAAAGAGAGAAACAGTATACTGCAATCTGCATCTTTTGAAAGAAACATCGTTTTTAAGACAGAGCAAGTTACTTATTCCTTCCATTATCTATGCTCTCTATGGTGCTGAACTATTTAGTATTAAGATTCAATAGAGTGAGTCTCTTCTGTCTACTTCTCCATAGATTGCTTGGTGATACCAGTAAAAGGTTGCATGTATTTGTATGTCCATATTGATAAGCCTGGTTCTGGGAATCTTGCCCTCCCATAATGCAACCTGCATGGCACCTAAGACTTTCCTTCCTCACTAATGTATAAGGAACACAAGTCTATCCTCTGTAGGAACTAGGCATCAATATATTTTTTGATGATCATTTACAATGGAATCTCAGCCGGACGGTGGTGGCGCACGCCTTTAATCCCAGCACTCGGGAGGCAGAGCCAGGCAGATCTCTGTGAGTTCGAGGCCAGCCTGGACTACCAAATGAGTTCCAGGAAAGGCGCAAAGCTACACAGAGAAACCCTGTCTCGAAAAACCAAAAAAAAAAAAAAAAAAAAAAAAAAAAAAATACAATGGAATCTCTTTCAGAACTGCAATCTTTTAAATTTATTTATTTATTTTACATCTAAACTACAACCTCCCCTCTCTTTCCTCTTCTCCCACTCCTTCCTCCATCCTGTCTTCCATCCTCTACTCAATCCACCTCTCCTCTGTAATCACTCAGAAAGGGCAGGCCTCCTATGGACTTCAGCAAAGCATAGCATATCAAGCTGTCATAAGACCAAGCAGCACCCCCTGTATTCAGGATGGGCAATTTAGCATGAGGAACAGGTTCTCAAGAGCCAGGTTCTCAAAGCACCAGGGACAGCCCCTCCTCCTATTTACTGGAGTCCCACATACAGACCAAGCCACACTGCTGTCACATAAATGAATAGGGTCTAGGTTGGTCCCATACAGGCTCCTTGGTTGATGGTTCAGACTCTGTGAGTTCCTGTGAGCCAGACTAGTGCTTTCTGTGGGTTTTCCTGATGCCGCACCCAGTTTCCTTACTCAGCTTTTAAAACAATGACACCACAACCACAGACTTAAGGCAATGGAAATTTATGTCCTCACAGTAATGGACAAGGGAGGATACAATGAGACACGTCTATGCAATGTGGTTATCAAGATTTAAAGATGTAATCTTTAAATAACTGAAAAACAATCATAGGTAATAAGCATTTTAGATAAGATTATCAGACAAAGAATAAAGGATTGCATAGATTCAAATTTATTCCAAATAATACAAACACAAAACTGACCTGGTGAGCATTTACTGGTGATGTGGCCATTCCCTTTGTGGCTTTACTCTGAATTTCTGTCTCACAAGCAAAAGCCAAAACTCCTGTTGACATTCTAAATCAAGGTGTGAAAAACACAAACCTAAAGTTAATATAACTGTATGGACAATACTGAACCAGATAAAAGGCCCTAATACTATAATGATACCAAAGGTCCTGTCAACATTCCTACAAAGAGGTGAGCATGGGAGGATATACTTAGAGTGCTGAAAGAAAATAACCACACCACTGCATGCAGAAATGTTAGCTCTTACACTTCATAGAGAAGTACACTTGAAGAAATAAATGACATAACAGATCACTCACTCAGGTAGAACTGTAGGTCATATTAGAGGCAAACTATGCATAGAAAAATCACAGAGAAATTATCCACGAGAACCTAGGACATAAGAAACTTAACACGAAGAATAGAATAGAGGAAAGCTTGGGAGTAATTCACTATATTTAAAAAAAAAAACCCGCTGTATTTCCAAGTAGAGGGGAAAAATACAGCCAGTAATTCCGCAAAAACAAAATTTATTTCCAAAAAGCAAAACATACGAACAAAAATACATGTAGCAAATACAGTCCAGCTGTAATGAAAACCAAGGTTTTGTGATAAACTCCTAAAGGAACTAGGAAGAAATGGAACATAGCCATAGAGTAAAATGCACGTTTCACATCTAGGCCAACATTACAAGAAGGAGATAAAAATGAACAGCATTAGCAGGAACACAGTGAGGGAAGGGAGGTGCATGACCTCTCGGTTCTTATTTAATCCAGAGCCATAAGAGCAGTGGTTCTCAACTTTCCTAATGTTATGACCCTTGACTCTATTTACTTATGTTTTGGTGACCCCCACAGTGAAAAAATTAGTTTCCTTGCTACTTCGTAACTGTAATTTTGCTACTGTTATGAATCGTAACATACATATCTATGTTTTCTGTAGGTGTGGTGGTTTGAGAGAAAATGACCCCCAAAGGGAGTGGCACTATTCAGAGGTGTGGCCTTGTCAGAGTAGGTGTGGTGTGTCCATGAGACTCCAACCCTCAGCTGACCTGAAATTCCCTCTTTAGAATGGGACAGAACTAACAAGACCTAAGACTCCACAGAGACACCCAAAGTGTTCGGGGGACATAAAGAATGGAAAGGGACAATACACTGGGTGGATTTCTCTGCTCTAAACGGGTTTCCAGTTGCAAAGGGAGCAAGAGAGGGAAGAGAAGGGGAGAGGTGTTTGTGTTTGTGCCCTACTTGGCAAGGTGCTTGTAGCACAGTGGGTAGAGTGCTTGTAGCTGAGTTATTATGCTGCTTGTAGCTCAGTGTGTAGAGAGCTTTTGACTCAGTGAGTCCTGTCATTCCGTGTATAGAGTGCTTGAAGCTCAGTGAGGAGAATGTTTTTAGCTGAGTTATTACAGGGCTTTTAGCTCAGTGGGTGGAGTACTTATAGCTGAGTTATTCCAATGCTTGTAGCTCAGTGGGTCCATGATTTAAATGGTTCCCATTCCAGGTAAGACAAAAGACACTCCAAAAAATATCCATGATACAAAATAGACTACACATGTTACAATAGGGATACAAACATGCAAAACCACTCTATCAAAGCCTTACTTTAGACAGTATGTGGGGCTGGGGTTTCCTGACCTCCCTTCCTCACCTGCTTTTACTGTATCTACCCTCACACCACCTCCCTTCCTGACCTGAGACTGGGCCTCTTCCTGGCATCTTCCCTCTGTGACGTGTGTGTGTGTGTGTGTGTGTGTGTGTGTGTGTGTGTGTGTGTGTTTGGCTGTGTGTATCTGTGTCTGTGTGTATGTGTGTCTTTGTGTGTAGTAGATATTGTTTTAATGTATGCTACGTTTGTTTATGTTGTATCTGTTTACCTCTGTGAAGCTGTGTTACTGTGCCTGTGTAAAACACCTGATGGTTTAATAAAGAACTGGCCAATAGAAAGGCAGGAGAAAGGATAGGTAGGGATGACAGGCAGGGAGTATAAATAGAAGGAGACATCAAGGAAGTGGGATTGGAGAGCTAAGATCTAGAAGCCAGAGAAGAAGGAGGACTCCAGGGGGCAGTCAACCACCTACACAGCAAGCCATGGACTAAGAGTAAGATTTTCCGAAGTTAGAGAATGGGAAAAGCCCAGAGGAAAAAGGTAGACAGATTAAGTTAAGGAAAGCGGGCTAGAAACTAAGCCAAGCTAAGGCCAGGCATTCATAATTAATAATAAGCCTCGATGTGTGATTTATTTGGGAGCTGGGTGACGGGCCACCCGAAAAAGAGTAAAAACTCCTAACAACAATACGTGTGTGTGTGTGTGTGTGTGTGTGTGTGTGTGTGTGTGTGTGTGTGTGTGTTCTCTGGTCTCTGTACAGAGCAACCATGAACAACAGGGAATGAATGAATCTGTTCCCTCACTCTCCAGATCTCAGTCCTGGCTCTCAACCTCTGCTTCAACTTCACAGTATTTATTGCCTTGTTCCCTGCTGTGACTGCTAAGGTCAAATCCAGCATCTCAGGCACCAGTGTACCTGGAAAAAGGCTGTTGTGGATCCCTGGGATGGATTCGGACAAAGTCTAGAGCAGGACCAAGGGTGGAATGCATGCAACCTGGAGAGGATTCTGCCAGCCGGATCTCCATGGGCCTGATCGCCCTGCCCTTGGCTGGAAACCTCTCTTCTACTTTACAGTGAGGAGGCTGTGCCCCAGAGAGACAGGTGCTAAGTCTGAGTCTCTCTTTTCTCCTTCAGGAAGCTACTTCGTTCCTGTGTCTTGTTTCCTGCATTTCAATGTGTTTGACTGGTTAGGCTGGGGCCTCCCAGCTATATTCACGCACGTTAAGTACAGGGGGACCTTAAGACTCGTGGGATCAAAGAGTCTAACTGAGATCAAGAAGGACCCCAAGAAAGTATACAGGTGGGGCTGGGAGTGGAGCTCTGAGGTAGAGCTTGCCTAGCAAGTGTGACCCCGTGTTCTATCTGTAGCACTGCAAGAAGTGTGTGTGTTTTGGGGAAGGGGGGAGGAAAGCAAGCAAACAAACAAACAAAAAACCCAAACAGCAGTGCTTGCATCAAATCTAGATGTAACTTACATGTAACTATTTTTAATATTTTTTACATTTTAAAGTTCTTATGATTTTCTTTCTGTTCATTTGAGTCAGGTCTCACTATGTAGCTCTGGCTGTCCTAGAACTTGCTGTGTAGACCAGGCTTGACTTGAACTCACAGACATCCAACTGCCTCTGCTCTCATGTGCATGTGCTCCTACATCCAGTTAAAATTTTAAAGATATTTTTAAATTATGTATATATGTTTGTGGAGGGTGTGTGTATGTGAGTGCATCTGCCCACAGATGTCAAAAGAGGGCATCAGATACCATGGAATTGTACCTGGAGTTATAGGTGGTTGTGAGCTGATTGGTGTGAGGGTTGGGAACTGAACATGGCTGTTCTGCAAGAGCAGGACTCACTCTAGACCACTGAGCCCTTCAGCCCAAGTGTAGAGTTCTTAGGTGTGCCACTAGGCAGAGGTGTGCAAGACTATACATGCACACATGTACACCCAGATCTAAAGATACATTCCAGTATTTGGGACTAGGAATGTGGTTCAGTTGTTAAGACTGCCTGCCTAGAATGCTTCATGAAGCCCTGAGTTTTATCCAGTGCATCTCAGAAGTCAGGTGTGGTGGTGCAACCTGAAATCTCAGCACCTGACAGATGGAAACAGGAGGATCAGAAGTTCTAGGTTATTTTGGGTTACATAGTGAGTTTGAGGGTGGCCTGGGAGACAAGAGAATTTCTCAAAAAAGGGAAGAATAAAAATTCAGTATTTCATAGGCACCACCACCATACACTTGCCATTTAGCACTCCCTCAAATAACCAGGCCTAGAGGCTTAATCCTAGGGGCCCTGATTAGATCATGAGGACCAACCTGGTTCCTTTCATTCTAATAAGGATCGATTCTAACTACTATATTTAGTGGTCTCTGCAATGCAGACAGTGGAGTTCCTCATGGCCCTTTTCTGTTTCTGGGCCTGGCTCTGGAAGCCATATTCTCCTTTGTATAAGGGCAGTTGTGTGACCACATGGGGACAGAAGGACTGTACTGCTTGCCTGTGTCCTGCTCAATTCCGTCTCATTTTCTTCCATGACAGGGATAAGCTGGGGTCATGAGCAGGTTTGCTCCTCTAGCCAACTCCTTCCTTCTGGTCAGTGCTGCCCAGAGATGTCCAGGCCCCAGGTAGGAGGAAGCCTCTGTGGGTGGACTTGGGCTTAGCCAGACTAGCAAGGAGACACAAATTCTCACTGACAGCTCTGACTGCTCCCTGCTTAAGTCAACCACAAGGGGCTCCTAGGCTGCAAGAGACCTGTCTGTCACAAGGATGAGGTGGAGGTGGCAGGCCTGACTGGTGTATCATGTGCTCTGATGAGGTTCCCTCTCTTTCCTTTTTCCTATGCCTGTTCTCCCTGTCACCTCCCCTTGTCATTTTATTGCCTTTTTTTCTCTCTCTTTTAACCCTGACAGAAGCCATGTGCCTTCAGAGGCTCTCTGATTAAACAAACGTTTTATTTTACCTGCACATCTCCCAGGGTCCTGCTAAGGCTTAACGACTTGGAAAGGATAGAAGGCTAGCAGCCTGGGTCTGGCGAGGAGCAAGATCCATGTTTGGGCCTAGGTACAAGGAAAAATGCTGGTATTGCAGCATTTCCTGCATTTCCAGCATCATGTCCTGGATCTAGGGATCAGATCAAGGGCTCTGTATATGCTAGGTAAGCACCGTGCCGAGGGTCGCCCCAGCCCTGTTTCTTAATTCAAAGGATGTCAAATGTTGGCAGCTTTGGGTCTGTTCTTTACCTGCTACATCCCCTGCCCCCCACAATCGCGGTCTTGATCTCCATGCTGGCCAGAACAACCCCTAGCTCCTGGCCATACTCCACGATCCCTTAGCAGGAGAAGGCTGAGACTCGGGTTCTCCCTTACCTTGGCACCAGGCCCTGGTGCGAAAATTGCCAGAAGAAAACACAGCAGTGCCACAGCTAGCTGCTCCCTCAGCAGGAGCCTCCAAACATTCAATTCCAGTCCAGACCCAGGCTCCTGCTTCTCCCCGCCCCCTCCAGGGTGTGCAACCGTGACGTCAGGACGCCGAGGCGCGCAGGCAGGGCTGTTGGTGGGTGGAAGCGGGTCCTTTAAGTCTGAGAGATCCAGAGCAGGAGGTCTGAGCTGAGCACCTCTGAATGAAAGGAGGTCCTGGTGCGTCTAGGAGCGCTCACTCCAGTCACCTCCTCTAGGCTTACGTTTTGCGTGTGAGTCAGTCGGGGATCACCTGGCTCTGTCCTTGTACTTCGTTTTCCAGTTAAGGTAAGGCCTTGGCTTTTTGTCCCTTGCTGCTCCCGGTGGCTCCTTCCCAGAAGCGTTTCCATGTTCGCATCTGTCCCAAAGGCTTCTGCCAGGGGCATGATGTGCCCGGAGAGTTTATAATGCTTGTAGCTGCAGGACGCTCACTCCCCCCAGAGTCCGCTCTAGGCGGGTAGATTAGCAGCTCACAAGGCAGGGCACCTGGTGCTATTGGGGGCCGCCTGCCCAACTGGGGACAGCAGCAGATGGGAACCGCAGACCCCGGGTAAGCAACCATGCTTGCCCTCCCATTAAAGATATAGTTGCTGGGTCTGAAGCATCTGTTCAGTGACTGGCGGCTCTGTCCCTTAAAGATGGTCCTGCCAGCTGTCCTGGACGCATTTCCCAATGTGCTTGGTTTGGGAGAGGGGTCCACGCTTTGGCAGGGATGCTTGAACCCACTGTGCTTTCCCTTTCCAGATCTTTTCTGCGCTCTAGTTGGAGGGGGAGTAGAAATTTGGAAAGGGCAGGCACAGGAAGATTCAGTCCCACATGCTCAAATCCTTTTATAAGCTTCTGACTTCCCACAAGTAGATGCTGGGCGATGGGAGGGTGTACTTTCCCGCTCCCTCCCCGCATTGCTCCTGCCCACTCATGCTCTGTACAGCTTGGGCCAGTGTTTTGCTTGTCTTTTGGCCTCTGCAGGTCTGCACAACGAGCTGTCATGATGGAGTTTTTGTTTCCTCGGCCCTTTGTCCTGATTTATTTGCCCCTTGAGCACTCTACTACACATTGGGTTCTCCTGCCCAGGTGGATAGAAGGGAACATTTGCAGGATTGACTTATGCCCAGGAGGAGCAGCACATAGACTGCTGTTTCTTTTAAGTTTGGTCTTAGTCCAAATGAAGAAGTTCTAGTGGAGGAATTTTCCATTTTTCTGTGCCCAGGAGTTGCTTGGGTTCTGAAGCTAGTAACTCTCATTCTGGATTTTTTTCCAATGTGTATCAGCAGGTGTTGAGATTCCCAGCCACCTATCTGAGCTCTAAGACGCAATTCAGAAAGTCGGACTTTCTTTTTGTTTGAAACAATCCTTGTGGGTTTTTTTTGTTCTCTCTCTCTCTCTCTCTCTCTCTCTCTCTCTGTCTCTCTCTGTCTCTCTGTCTCTCTCTGTCTCTCTCTCTCTCTCTCTCTCTCTCTCTCTCTCTCTCTCTCTCTCTCTCTCTCTCTCTCGATTTCCTTCCTCACTGTAGATTCAAGGTCTTTTCTCATCTCTTGGGGTTTAAAGCAGTTTTAACTGTGCCTCTGGATAAGGACTTAATTGAAGCAGGTCAACTCTTGGATTTTAAAGTGTTCAGCCATGATGGTCTCTTGTAATACATGATGCTTTCCTTCTTAGATGCCACAGGAAGAAGTGGAGATCTTGTCCTTTCAGATAGAATTGCTCAGCTCCTGTCCCTCATCATCAATACATCCTAGGCAGACAGGGACATTTTTGTGGGAGTTGATCTCTAATGTTTTAGATGTGAATATTCTGTTGTATTCTTAAAACTTTATAGAAGTGGAAAAAGGGACATGTATTGTGAAGTGTAGTAGAGGTGATTGAGAGGAATAATCTATCAGGTGATCCCAAAATATTGCTACAAGTTTGAAAGGTAGGGGACTTTTTGAAAAACAAAACGATGTGGTTTTTTATATGTATTTACAAGCCTTGAATAAGTTTCTTTATGAGGGCCTAAGAGACTCTTACAAGTGGGCAAATAGGAATGATTTGAAAATTGACATCCCTGCTAGGCAGTTGTGACACTTGCCTTTAATACCAGCCCTCGAGTGGCAGAGACAGGCGGATCTCTGTGAATTGGAGGCTAGCCTGGGCTACAGAGTGAGTTCCAGGAAAGGCACAAAGCTACATAGAGAAATCCTGTCTCGGAAAAAAAAAAAAAAGAAAAGAAAGAAAGAAAGAAAATTGACATCCCCAACCTCAGTAGTACTGCTGACATTCTAGACACAGGCATTTGCTTGATCAAGGTTGGCCCCTTAGGTGACTTTGGAACCATTGTTAAGTTTGGCACAAAAGTGTTCATGGAGGCCAGCATTTTTGTGGCCTTTTATCCACACTGTTCTCAATTTGTTACTGCTTTTGGCATGATAATTTCTGAAAACATGTTTGACTGGTGTATGCAATGGATCTTTAGAGTATGATGTGGAGGTCTGAGGAGAACTTTGACCACCAGGTTCTGTGGACTGAACCTTGATTGTTATACTCGAGAAGCAAGTGATTTTGCTTGTTCAGAACCATGTTGCTGGCTCTCTTTGAATGTTTGAAACCCCTTTGGCAGGCTGTTGGATGCGTCTCCATGTCTGGACACTTGGATGATGGTTTCTATTCTGTCTATCTGGTGGCACAGAATATGTTTGTGGTCACAAGGCACAGTGATGGTGAGCAGCATGCCTGGGAGTCTGTTACTGGTGAATCCTTCAAGTTGTGCTGACGATGTGAGTTGGCTACCTACATTGTGGGGATTGGGGGAATTGTGTGGGTTAAGTAAGTCAGAAGTCTTGAGCATTGCGTTTTAAAGCAGTCTATCTTTGTTGAGTATTTTAGCTGTAGTTTTAATTCCATATCTTCTTATTATAGTATGGTTCATCTCTCTATAGGTGAGCCCGTTGGACAGAATACTAAAGTGAGCCTTCTCCTAAAAGAAGTCCTGAGAGAATGCAGAGAGGAGAGGAGGGTCAAGGAAGCTGTGAAGAAACACTCACCTTTCATTAAGTTCTCCCACAACCCTCTATGTGAGCATGGGCTTGGCAGTGTTTGAGTGGCTTGTTGTGTTGGCTCCTGGCCTCTGGCTTAGCTGGGTGCTGAGTTCTCCTCAACTCATTAAATTTGGTGATTTACTTAGAGAAGGAACAATAGAAGGAGATCAGAGAAAATGAGGCAGAGAAAGAGAAAGATGAGGAAGCAGGAGGAAGGTAAGAATCTGGAGTACAAGCATAAGAGTACAGATGTGGGAGCAGATGAGGATGACGACAGCGGCAATGGTAAGAAAGGGAATCCAAAGAGACTAAGAAGAAATACGTGCGTGGATCAGGAGGAGCTGACTAAGGCTGAGACCAATTGCACTGGAAAGGCTACTGACATCACAGGGGAGGAATATGGCAAATGCTGCAACAGTCTCCCCAATGATTGGCAAATCCATGTGGCAGTCCAAGTGCGTGTTGTGTAAACTAGAAGGGTGTACAGAATGTGCCCTCCCACTGTTTCATAGCTGAGAACTGAAAGCCACGGAACCGCATGACGTGATCCACTGGGGACTCCTGAGAGTGGCCTGTGCTTGGCAGTGGTTTCACTTTCCCTTCTGGTGGGAACCACCCCCCCTCACCCACTCTGGTGGTGGTCATGACAGCCTGGCTTCTGATTGGAGGGACACTTCTTGCTAAGAGCATTTAGGTTGACTTGGTATTGGGGCTGTTTTCTCTGGAGCAGCCCATAGTTTCTAGTCTGTTCCTAGGGTTTCAGGAGTATGCCATTATTCCTGTGTCAGTTGTTTGATATTGGGGACTTGAGGCAATGTTGTCCTAAATTGCCTTGCTGGGTTCTCTTTCAGCACTTCTCTGTAGGAAGTCACTTGGGATTCAGGGCATTGCTCTTCATTCCTTGGCAAGCTCCCCTTGACCTTTCTAAAAACAAGAAGAAGAACATCAGACTGTGTGTCTGTCTTGTGTTCATCATGGACAGCTGTGTTAAGGTGACACTTGAGTACCTCGATATCTCCTGGGTGTAATGTATGTATTAAAGGCAAAGTCTTTGTTATCAGGCTTCAGCATACAGGTGAGACTGTCTTTAAACCAGACAACAATAGTCCTTGGTTCGTAAGACCTTCACTATTGTGTATTTTAATCTGGTAACCGCACCAGGTCTGATCCAACTTTTTCCTGCATTTTCTGCTCTGCTTCATTGTAGACTTTACCTGTAGCATGGTTGATTTCAAGGACATCTCTGACAACTTGAGAATTGCTCCAGCAGAGCAAGATCCTGAAAATCATCACCAAAATCATTGTGAAGAGGAGCCTTGTGCTCCCTTGTGAGTTGGCAGAAGACAAAGAGAAGTAAAAGAAGTTCAGTGAAGCGATCCCCAAGAATTTAAGGTAAGATGGGCCAGTGCTTTCTCCCATGACCATGTCGTGTTTAGGGTGTTGCTTTCCAATCACAATTGGACTTGTTCTTTCCCTGCCCTTAACGCTTGAAATCGATAAAGTTTCCGCGGGCTGCATGCGCCTGCGCTCCCTCCACCACCCGCCCCAGCAGCAGCCAACAGAAGTGCTCTTCTTCCTGACTCCTCTTTGCAGCCCCTCAACGCCCTTGGAGGCCCCCTAGCCACACTGTGAGGCCCGGTAGAAGGCCAGGGTCCTGTGGGGAACCCCGGAAGTGACACCTTCCCTATGTGCCAGCCTGCTATGCCACAGCCATCAGCCCTCACCATCTCAGACACCCTGATGACCATTGCCACTTAGTGGACCAAACTTGTGAGTATCTGAGGCCCCCTAGCACCTTCTAATTAGGTTAGTTTTCTTATTTTCTAATAGGGCTATCTCCTTCCTTGTTTTGCTGGGTGATAGTCCCCCTAACACCTTTGAACTTTATTTACATTCTAGACTCTGCACGACCTGCAGCATCCTCCTAGCCTACTCATCCAAAAATGTAGAGTTCTGCTTGCCTGCTTTCTGCTCTTTTAATTCACTGGAGTGATTCCCACAATGTTCTGTCCCTTTCTTTGCCATGGCCCAGTTGCTATGACACCCATTCATCTGAAGCTTCCCTGGGACACCCAGAGAATGACCCCCCACCACTTCACTGTCCTCCTTCCTGCTCCTTTTCCCTTCTGTTCAGCACCCCCTGAAACTCACTCCCATATATTTAAGTGTTTACGATTTTTCGAGCCATCTCACTCACATGGCACACTTCAGTAGAGCTTATAAGCTCTAAGCGTGGGAAGCTAATGTCTCCTCATTCTTATTCTCATAGAATTGCACTGGCCCCAGGCTCTGGTTTCAGCACAGGGGCACATTTCTTGGGCTCCAGCTGTAGCGACTGAGACTCCAGATTCCAGGTAGGAAAAGGTGGGTGTCCTCTCTTGGCATCAGCCAATACATAGCACATTTCTGGGGATTTTCAGGTCATCAAAGGGCAGATAAGAAAGGTGCTGAGAAAGAGAATGGAGAGAAACAGGGTTAGTGTCATTAGAGATGGCAGCAGGGACCTAGAAAAGCTGCTATGCAGCTCCTTTCTCACCAGAGCAGAAGACCAGCAGGGAACTCAGTCAGACTAACTCCCCAGATAGTGCATGGTCTGGGCATGGCAAAACCCCAAAGCTTTAGATGAACTCTGAAATAAATCATGCAGAATATCTGAGCTAGGACTGACCTATGAGGTGATCCAATCAACTGGCCTATTCGTTATTGTTGCATGTTTGGAAGGATGAGCATAAAATGTTTTGAGTATTTTGTTTGTTTGTTTGTTTGGATTTTGACACAAGGTCTCACTATGTAGCTCTTGCTGTCCCAGAGCTCACTATGTAGACCAGGCTGGCCTCAATTTCTCAGAGATCCTCCTTGCCTTTGCTTTCTGGGTATGGGGATTAAAGGCATGTGCCACCCCACCTGACTGAATTTTTTTTATGTGTAGGAAATACGAGGTTGCCTCTTAACAAAAGTCCCAAACCTGGAAGTACCGGCTATATGTTTGTTTGCTGCAGACACTTGCTGGAGTTGCATACAGGCCTATGCCCAGGCACGGCTCTTTGGGTTCTCCCAGGCCTCACCATGCATTGTCTTCCACTTGGTTAGATTCACTGATTCACTCCTGTCAGAGTTGATTTGGGGTGCCTTAGGCCTGACCAGCTGAAGAAACTGGCTGAGAGGGACAACATGTCAGAGTTGGTATGAAGCAGTCCTGTTCTACCCCAGCAGCTTTTGAGGACTGGAGGGTTGAGGTAACATCTCATGCAGCTGAGAAACTATCTTTGTTAGTGCCCACCCAAGAATGCTGAGTCTAGTCAACCTTCTTTTGGAAGCATTTCCAAACAGGTGCCCTTGTATCACCCTTAAACTAAGCTTCCTGGATCTAAATGGCAACTTGTAACGTGGTGTTATCTTTTGTTCTTTGGGGTAGGGCATTCAGAAATCTGGCACTAAGATCTCAAATATATAGCAAACAGGGACACACACACACCCCCATCCTCAACAATAAAAACAAAAACTGAATAGGCTGGGAAATTTCACTTCCCAGATAGAGGGACATTGGTAGATTTTCAAGATGCTGGCTGGGGAAGCAGGTACCTGCACAAGGGCCCTGGTGGCTTGCCCACTCCCAAAGAGAGATGATGCCTGGTCTTCTGGTCTGAACCTGGCTACAGCTTCAAAGTAGGCTGTGAGTTAAGTCAGGAATTTGGAGAAGGGACTGGCACTTTTTGGGCAGTTGCTTTGAAGGTCTATCCTCTTGGGTGATGATGGTGATAGTGAATACCCAGCCACTTGCAGCTCCTGGTGAGGCTCAGACTGAATTTAGTCACCTCTCTTTATCCTTTGAGATGCATGTGAGTTTGTGGAGGTGCTGAGGGCTCGGCATCTGTGGTTGTTTGAATAATGATGGCCCCCACTGGCTCATATATTTTAATGCTTAGCTATCATGGAGTGACACTACTTGGAAGGATTAGGAGGTGTGGCCTTGTTGCAGCAAGTATCTTCCTGGGGTGGGCTTTGAGGTTTCAGAAGCCCATGCCATCCACGCCCAATAGCTTCTTCTTCCTGCTGCCAGCTTTTGTGGCTAGGAAAGTTGGTGAAGCCAGGCATGTATTAGATGTGAAGCAGCCATTATGTGAAACTGTGATGATGAAGCTTGGATTGACTTGGAAACTCCAAGTTGTTAGAGATGCCAGAGTGGTGGGATTCTTGTAGTCAGAGTTTTTCTGTGTCTGAGCAGCTGCTTCCCAAATAACCAACACAGAGTTGTTTTATTTTAAATATAATTTTTTTTCATTTTATATACTAACCACATTTCCCCCTCTCTCTCCTTCTCTTATTCTCCTAGCTCTTCCCCACCACTCTGCAGAGAGTGTAAAGCCTCCCATGGAGAGTCAACAAAGTCTGGCATGTTGAGTTGAGGCAGGACTGAGCCCCTCCCCACTATATCAAGGCTGAGCAAGGTTTCCCTCCATATGGAATGAGCTCCAAAAAGCCAGTTCATGCACTAGGGATAAATCCTGGTCTCAATGCCAGGGGCCCCACAAACTGCCCAAGCCACACAACTGTCATCCGCATTCAGAGGGCCTAGTTGGGTCCCATGCAGGTTCCCCAGCTGTCAGTCCAGAGTCTGTGAGCTCCCACTACCTTAGGTCAGCTGTCTCTATGGGTTTCCCCATCATGATCTTGACATCCTTGCTTGTATAATCCCTCCTCCTTCTTTTCAATTGGACTCCAGGGGCTTGGCCCAGTGCTTGGCTGTGGATCTCTGCATCTGCTTCCATCAGTTACTGGATGAAGATTCTATGATGACAATTAGGGTAGTCATCAATCTGATTACAGTGGAAGGCCAGTTCAGGCACCCTCTCCACTATTGCTTGGAGTCCTAGCTGGTGTCATCCTTGTGGATTCCTGGGAATTTCCCTAACACCAGGTTTCTCTCTAACCCCATAATGGCTCCCTCTTTCAAGATATCTCTTTCCTTGCTGTCCTACTCTGTCCCTCTCAACTATCCCATTCCCTCATGTTCTCATCCCCCATCCCATGCTCCCAGTTTACAGAGGAGATCTTGTCTATTTCCCCTTCCTAGAGCCATCCATGAATGTCCCTCTTAGGGTGCTCCATGTTATCTAGCTTCTCTTGGATTGTGGATTGTAGCCTGGTTATCTTTTGCCTTACTTCTAATGTCCACTTATGATTGAATACATACCACAACGCAGAATCTTAATATTAATTATAAATGCCTGGCCAATAGCTCAGGCTTGTTACTAGAGAAGTCTTACATTTAAAATATCCCATATTTCCAATGTATCCTAATCTGCTCCCTCAACATCTGGCTGGTGACCTCAGACTCCCATGACTCCTGAAACTCTGCCCTTCTTCTTCCCATAATTTCATTTGGCTCTGCTGCCTAACTTTATCCTGTTCAGCTTTTGGCCAGTCATATTCTTTATTAAACCAATCAATGTTATACATATTCCCAGTGTTCGGAAGGATTATTCCACAGCAGGATACCTGCCAGGGAAAGTTGCAAACTGTATGTGGAACTAGCCCAAGAGAAAGAAGTGTGTTGAAGTCAACAAAGCTGAAAGTTGCTAGAATTCTGAAGAGTTGTTTGACATCAGACATGGAGATGCAGAGTTTGGAGTCACCCCAGCTGTTTTGTAGTCTTGCTTTTGTCCAGAATTTCCTCACTCTGCTGCCCCTCACTATGTTTTCTTTACTCATTTTTGGAATGACAATGTTTATTTTGTGCCATCGCATGCTGGAAGTAGGGGATCTGCTATTTGATTTTGATATTATAGGATGTTACACTGAAGAGACTGCTATGAGACTCAGAAGAGACCAGATTTTGGATGTTTGAACCAGTGTTGAGTGTGGTAGACTATAAAGACTTTTGAAGTTGGACTGAACTTTTTTGCATTATGATATGGCTACAAGCCTATTAGGCCAGGGAGTGCAGTGTGGTGGTTTGAGTAAGTATGGCTCCCATAGGCTCATATATTTGAATGCATAGTCATTGGGGAGTAACACAGCTTAGAAGGATTAGGAGGTGTGGCCTTTTTTAGGAAGCATGTCACTGGGGGTGGGCTCAAAGGTTTCGGAAGCTAATCCAGGCACAGTGGCACTCTCTTTTTTCTTGCTCCCTAAAAATGTGGATGTAGAACTCTCAGCTATATCTCCTGCACCATATCTACCTGTGTTCTACAGTGTGAAAAGAGACTAAACCTCTGAAACTGTAAGCAAGTCCCTATTCAGTGCTTTCTTTTATAAGAGTTGCTGTGATCATAGTGTCTCTTCACAGCAATAAAACACTGATTAAAACATCAGCCCCATGTAGGCGGCCAGTAGTGAGCCTGGGGATTGGTTTTCTGCTTCTAGTCTTCCCAGGTCAAGGATTCATTGAGAGAGGAGGAGACATGTGTGGAGTCAGCCCATTTTCCCTTGCATCATCCTTCTCTCCTTTTCCTTGGTCTATAGAGGATGGGTCCAGGGCTGTGGGCAGCTGCTGTGTGAGGGTCCAGAGACTGGGGCCACAGTAGGCTTGGATAGGAAGCACAGGAAGAAGATTAACTCTATGCATGTGTTGCACTGACTGTTGATTGTCTCCTATGGCCCCCTATTGCCTCGGTCATGCCAGTGGCCCCAGACCAGGTCTCAGGGCCCAATAGGATCATACTCTCATGTATGCCATGTGCCTTTCCAGTTTGGGGGTCTGCCTAGCAGAAGTAACACCCCATTCTGAGTGCCCTTACTAACCAGCTGTGCTGACATGGGAAGCAGACATGAAGCATGAGAGGTCTGGGGCATCAGACAGGTTTGAGGCAGGTTTGAGCAGCTGAATGGTCCCCATTCCTGTGTTCCCACTTGTCCCACCTGGGGACCAAAGAAGTTGATACCATTCACTGTCCTGACTGCTGTCTACATAGGCTGAGAGTTGTCTTTCTTTATAACTGTTGCTGCTGTTTAAGCAATGTCTGTCCCAATCAGCAACTGCAACTCTGCTACCAAAATGGTTCACCTCAAGGGCTGCAGCCTGAGGGGATTCTGTTCCCTCAGGCACTGACTCTTTAGGGCTTTGAAAGGAACTTATCTAAATCTCTGTCCCTCTAAAGAACTCAATATTCAAAGGTGGAGGTGGAATTCTACAGATCTGAGAGACTGAATAGCAAGGACCCACTTCCTCTCCTTGACTGCATCTCCCAAAAAGCCAGGACTCCTTCTACCAGCCCCCACTTAAAAGCCCTTCTCCACCTGACTCTTCCCTACTGCTTCCTGTCAGCTAGTTGCTGACTCAGCCTCATGACTGCAGGCTAATTTTATTTAATCAAACCAATGGAACACTTCTTTGTGTGTTTAGGCAAATGTTCCAGAGCTTA